AATGAATGAACTTTACACTTGAAACATCATACAGAACTGCATCTAAAAAAAAAATCATTTCTTAAAGAAATTACAATTGTAAAAGTTTGACCATTGCATTCAATTAATATTTCCTGCAAAGCCATGATTACACCAATTAACAGAAGAGAAAAAGGGCAGAATTGAAATACACTCTCAATAAATCTGATAAAACAGATGCTTTCACATGTCATTACTTGATGAAAACCATGTGACACAGTACATGCAAAAATTTGGTTAGTTGAGTTTTAACCTTCAAAATTAATCTTTTCCATCAAAGGTAGAACATGTGCTACCAGTTGCTCTAGAATTACGTGTTCTCATCTATTACACTCCAGCTCAGACAATATTAAACTATGACACTAATAAAGTGACTATATTAAGGGAAAGAAATCTCTCAGGTATTCAGCTATTCTACATTTGTGCTGTGCTTTTTGGGTTATGTTTATTTATTTGTTTGTTTTTAATAATGCTTAAATACTATTCTTATCCCAATTTGCTACACAAAAAACCCTACAACCTCAAACTGTGACACATTTCACCTGCTCAGAGATTAGATGGAGACATTACTTTACCATGGCTTTTTGACAGTAAATTAAAATGCAATGCAGCTTTTAGGCTTTAATTTAGTCTTTCACTCAGGCAAATCAGCCTGAGTATTATTGGATGTATTATTTCTTCACATGGTGAATTTGTAGCTGACTGCAACATTTTTTTCCTTTCTTGAATGATGCATTGGGAAGAAAATCAAGATTCTCACAAGGCAAGGAGGAGACTCAATTTTCAGAGATCAAAATATATTATTGAAAAAAAATTAGGGACTCAGTTTTCAGGCAGAGCAATTAAAGCAATGAACCTGCATGGAACTTTCAATAAAATTAATGTTTGCTGGCAGCTATAGTATTTTCTCTTTTACATCATCATGGGCATTGTCAAACCCTGATGTTTCAGACAGCTCCATAGAAACAACTGAAAAAAACAAGGTTGGACAAAAATCTCCCCATCAAAACATCTTCTCTTTTAAAAAATGAATATTTTATTAAATATATTGCTTCTGTGAATAAGTAAGTATTTCTGAAGTTATATCAAAATAGGGTGAGACATGACAAGAAGTAAAGGTTCAATATGATTCTTCACTAATGCATCTCCTGGCTTTCAGGTTCTTTTTCTTCTTTGCTTGATTCCAATTAAAAATCAATCATGCCCTTTTCAATTAGCTACTAAATAGTCTAACAGCTTGCTACTTGATGTAATTAGTAGCAAATTGTACATTTTCTCACCAAATCAGTACTGTGCATCTTGCCTGTGCTATCCACAGTATTAATTTCGAAAATCGGCTATTTTAGTTCGATTATAAAGGTTATTTTTTTAAACTAGAATACTGGGAGGGTTGGCTTGTTTCTTTTTTGTTTTTTAATCTCTTGTATACACAGTATATTTAAATTTATCTTTAATCAGCTGTTCATTAAAGAGTTGACAACAAAACTCAGTATTTCATATCTTGCATTTGTTCCTGGAAGACATGTTCAAGAATTATTAAGAACATCAATTCTCCAAATCCCTTGATCCAAATGGGCTGAAACAGTGTTAATTAATGACTCTGCTCAGCACACACACACTTGGCGAGCACCCAGGGGTTAACCATTCTTGGAATCATTAGGCAAAGACCAAGAAAGTCAGACATTTCCAGCAGCTCAGGCCCTCTTCGAGTGCCAAGCTTGAGCTCTGTCTTCATCCTCATACTTCTGTTTGCAAAGCACAACATATGCAGCCCCTCACTGCGCACACAACATGTTGACCTTCTTTTGTGATGGTTCCTTCACTCCTGGAGAACACAAGTTACAGCAAAAACTCTGATGCATAACAGCATGGTGCTGTCTGCCTCTTTTCTCATCTTCTCCAAATTGTCTACTCAACCTACCCGTTTTTCTCAGTTTTCATGAAAGAAATAGCAGTGGGACTGGTGAGACATGAGGACATGGGGATGGTGAGAAAGCCACCTAAGTCTGCTTCCATGGATGCACAAAACTCCTCATCATAGAATCATACAAACCCAGACTGGTTTGGAGCGGAAAGGAGCTTAAAGCTCATCCAGTTCCAAACCCCTGCCACGGGCAGGGACCTCTTCCACTAGAGCAACTTGCTCCAAGCCCCTGCGTCCAACCTGGCCTTGAACACTGCCAGGGATGGGGCAGCCACAGCTTGTCTGGGCACCCTGTGCCAGCTCCTCAGCACCCTTACAGGGAAGAGCTTCTGCCTAAGAGCTCATCTCAGTCTCCCCTCTGGCAGGTTAAAGCCATTCCCCTTGGCCTGTCCCTGCAGGCCCTTGTCCAAAGCCCCTCTCCAAGTTTCCTGCAGCCCCCTTAGGCACTGGAGGTCTAAGGTCTCCCCAGAGCCATCTGGTAATAAAACCTGACTACAATAATAAATAATAAGATTAAATTTCTACAAGTCAAGTATTCCCACACCCCTCATTCTAAACCACTTCAACATTCCATGCTACTCGTGGAAATTTCCTTTTATAAAATATCATCTTTTCTTACCTAAAGCAAAAACTTTGTCATCTGGGATTTCCCAAAGAAAAGATTCTTTAAATCAGCTTTGCTGTTTTCTAACTGGAATAACATACGTACAATGCTTGTATATATAAAATTATATATAGATAGATAGATATATATACAATGTGTATATATATATAATCTCCTCAACTTCTTGGTCTGACACACCACCTTGCTGCTCTTTGCCATCAGGATGACTGTGGTTGCTCCCCTCTAGGGTCCATGGCACCATGTCTTCTGAACATTTTTTATGGACTTAACCACTCACCAAGTAACCAGGGGCCACAAGTCACTTCCCAGCCACAAAGTGCCAGGGAGACTTTTAGCAATACAAAGCATTAGTGGCCATGGCAACCATAATTCAGTGACCTTTTACCTATTTTATTACAGCATCAGATCAATATTTCCGCCTTGGGAGAAAAACTGGGACAGTCCCACATGGGCCAAGAAGATGCATCTAAGAGGGGAATATTATTACTTTTTATTCATACTAAGTAAGATTAGAAATAGTTGTTACATAACAGGATGAGCCCTTAGCCGCTAATGGAAAAAAAAATGAGGGGAAAAAAAAAGAAATCACATTAAACTCTTAAACTTGCACCTATGTTAAAACCCAGAACCCATCAGAGGTTGGGATAAGCGCTTGTTTGTGTTGGAGTTTGTAAAATTACACAGTGCTCCGGGATTATTACGGATCTTGTCAAAACTACTCCGGAGGCAGAGGGGAGGATTATGGTGAGGAATTAACTTTCTCTGACTGATTTTAATGAAAAGTCAGATTTCTCAGACAACGTTACAATAATGCTTCCACTTCTCCCTGCAGCCTGCAGCATCTCTGCCTCTCTCCCCCTTCACTTGCCTGTTCTGAAGCTGATATCAGCACTTTGATGTGTGTTTTACTGCCAGAGCTGGCCCCCTCCTTCCCCAGCCCTTGCTGCAATACACACAATTGCCAGGCCATAAATATGACTGCACTGTGTTGGGCTGATCAAAGTGTCAGACTGTCACATCTGTCTGAAAAAAAGCAGCAGTCTGCACTTGATCCATAACATATGTAGGATATAGAAATGCTTAACTATAAAATTACTCATCTTAAACACTGTAATAATCAGGCATGGCTGCTACAGATAGCCTGCTATTATACATGTGTTTTAAATTCAGATAAGGAATGTCTCGTTATTACTTTTACAAACCCACCGCATCATCATTTCCCCAAGCAACATTAACCAACCTATGACTGAAACAACACTGTTTTACAATGGGACTCCAATCCTTCTCCTAAAGGGATATTTATACTGAGGCTGTACTGTCATTTAACACAGAAGAGAAATGTGAATAAGCGTAGTGTACTTCCATGTCCCCAGTCCTTTTTATCCTTTAATTGCTAATTTTTCTGTTATATATACGTTTACCCCCAAAGCTTTATGATGAGATGTTGTGTTTTTATTGGTGGTTTTGTTGTTTGGGGGTGGTCTTGATTGTTTTCAATTTTTGGGGGTTTTTCCCCTCCTGAGATCACAGCAAAGCATCACACTGTCAGTCTCACAATTACACAGTGCATTTTGGGAAGACACAGCAGGTTGTTAATGAAGATTAGTGCCTTCCTTGCGGGGTGAATTAGGAGACAACCTGGTAACATTGGCAGAAGAGCTTTTACTTGAATTTGCACCACCTATGCCATTTCAGCGCACATTGAAAAGGCCGTTTTGTGAACATTTTGGGGGTGGTTTTTTTCTATTAAACAAATGCATTGTCAGATTTGTTTTGGGGCATAGACTGCAAGTGCACAGTAGGCTTTACTCTGTTATTGACATGATCTGCAAGTGCAGCGCCAGGCTGCCCTGCAGGCTTTGCCACAATTAGGTCTCTCTCTCCCCTCCTCATTGCTTCTCCTCCTCTCTCCCAACAAATTCACTTCACCTTCTTGTTACCAGGTAAATAATGAGCCATTTCTTTCCACAGGAAACCTCGGAGCATGCTGCAAGGAGCCAGTACCTGCTTGCAATGAGGAGTCCCGGATCTGCTTTGCCTCACCTCCCTGGTGAGGAACATGCCCAGACCCTGCACCATGCCTTGAAGACAACAAGCTTATATTCAACGAGGAAGAAAATAAGTTTAAACTTATGGTAGGTTCCCCAAGCACAGTGAAGCAAGGAGTCCATTTTAAAGAAAATATTACAGTTATTACAGAATGAAAAATAAAAGATTAAATATTTTCTTTATTGGGGTCTTCAAGGAAAGAGAAACCTGGTGGAGCTCTGCCCAGTGCCACCGTGGGATGGGGAAAACTGAGTCAGGTCACCCCCAAAGTAATGAGAGTTTACAAGGCTCTCCTCTACCCCCAAGGCGTTTTTCAGCATTTTGACCAGTGCTGGGAGCAACCTTCAGTGCCTGAAGGGGCTGCAGGAAAGCTGGAGAGGGGCTTGGGACAAGGGATGTAGGGACAGGCCAAGGGGAATGGCTTTAACCTGCCAGAGGGGAGACTGAGATGAGCTCTTAGGCAGAAGCTCTTCCCTGTGAGGGTGCTGAGGCGCTGGCACAGGGTGCCCAGAGAAGCTGTGGCTCCCCATCCCTGGCAGTGCTCAAGGCCAGGTTGGACACAGGGGCTTGGAGCAAGCTGCTCTAGTGGAAGAGGTCCCTGCCCGTGGCAGGGGTTGGAGCTGGATGAGCTTTAAGGTCCCTTCCAACACAAACCAGGCTGGGATTCTGTGATTTGTACTGCATACTGACTCAAATCTTTAACCATGAATCAGAAATATTTGCTGTAGGTGCTGCACAACTAGAGGGGCAAAAAATGTTTATGCCAATGACAAGCTGTGCTGGTGACGTGCAGCAAAACAGTGCTTCTCTGGGGCAGAAAGCGACCTAAGAGGAGACTATTTATTTGTTTTAGCTTTGCTACCTGAAAGAGTTATTTGCTTTCACAACATGGCTACAGGCTTCTTTCAAACCAGCTGTCGTGGTAATTCATGAGCTTTTGCATCTCCTGGGTCAGTCAGGAGCTATGAGAAGTCAACTTGTATTTTCTCCTCCTTCTGCATCACCTGCTCCACCGGCAATAAGCAGTGCTTCTAACAACAAGGGCTGTACAAAAAGGTTTTACCAGCCACAACATCAGAACATTACATGATCAAGTCTTTGCAGGTCCCAACCCACCCAGCAAACTCCAGGTCTCATCCCTTCATGGCAACATCAAGTAACAAACTACATCCTGCTTTCAGGACACCATCGCCACCTGATTCTTACTGGGTGACACATACCACCACATCACCACTGTTTCTAGACTATATGCGTGTAACAAAGGAATCCCTCTTAGCGTTGCACTTTCGAAGTACATAGGAAGGACTAACATTCATTTTTGTCACTGATGATATAACTCAACTTGCATAAAGAAGATGGTTGTTTAGTCAGAAAGTATCATTTTTCACACAACCACTTAATCACAAGGATGCAGTTCACAAATATTGCTCCCAAGAAGCATTAATATAAAGGCTTCCTTTGTTGACAAAGTACTTTCTCATTTGTACAACAAAAAGTACAGTCAGTAAACAAATTTCTACCTATGGCATTACTGATCTAATTTTGTATTTTCTTTTTAGATACTGAAGACATCTGTCTCTTCCCAACTTCTTGTGCATCCCCAGCTGACTCACTGGCAGAGCAGTGTGAGGAGCAGAAAACACCTTGACTCTGTTTAAGCACTCTTCAGCAAAAATGAAAATATCCCTGAACTACCAACACTTTCTAGCACAAATCTCAAACACAGCCCCATAGTAGCTACTATGAAGAAAATTAACTCTATCCAGGCAAGACCAGCACATGCTCTCATCAGGCATTCATGCAAAAGGACACCATAGTATAGTGTTCCAGGTTCACAGGATTCCCATGTACAAAGACTGGACACCAAACTCAGTGTCAACGATCAAATGTTCTAGTCTATTTATTGAATTACCAGTGCAAAGCAAATATGTATACATTAATGCAAAGCAGGTTACATACATACCAACCCCTGGTTGAATAGGATACTGCCCAGCAGGAGAAGGAGATGGAACATGTTTCCAGGTCGGAGGGGTGGTAGGCAGTGCATCATCAGGGCATCCCCCAAGTCAAGATGCGCACCTGACTTACTCACCCATCCATCCCTGCACAGGTCCTTATATCCCCCTTTGGGTTGGAATGGAAAATTACCAGTTGCAACATCAGTGCATGTATGGCCAGCTGTGAGTAGAGGTTTACTGTCATAAGACTCCCTTTTGCTAACAGCGGTGCCAACACCCTATTTTCAAGGTTATGTTTCCACAACCCCTGCCAAAGAGTAGCTTTCTATTTTTGTGCTTTTCACCATGGACCACTATCTGTGACACATATAGGGTGCCATGAGATAGATAGCTCCTGCTTATCTTAAAGAGTAGGAATTTTTAAAATCCTGTATTTAAGAGGTTAACATTTTTAATCAAGAATTATTTTTTTTTCCTGACTACTCTAAAATGAAGGAAACATCCCTTACTAACAATTCCTTTAAAGTCTTCTTTGTCCTACTCCACAAATATTTTTATATTTCCAAACAATGAACCAGAAGCATCTTGCTGGGACAAAGCAGATTTTTCTTGTGCTAATAAGCCCAGGCTGTTGAAACATTTCCTATTTAATTGGTACACACAAGAATTTACCGCCAGGAAAGGGAAATGCAGAAAAAGGTGCCTTTGCTCCATCATTTGAGGAAGGCTTGGAAGAGCAATGCACAGATTCCAGCATCAGCTCACCCTTTTCAGATACCACCCTGGAGAAAAAAGAGATTCCCAACCAACATGAACATCTGGATAATCCCATGGAGTCTGGATACCACCTGCATTCCTGCGGGGTGGTACAGAGCAAGCTCTGCTTGAATCACATTTCTTCAGCACCAGGGTGGACAGGCTTTTGCCTGCCTTTGCTGGTGAGGCACCCCACCTCTTGAGTTACATGGGAGTTTTATCTCACAGGTTGTTGGCTCAGCCTGGAGGGCCATCTGCATATCCACAGTCCAGAACACAAATTTTAGGCTCTAGGACCGTCAAACTGCAACATCAATTGCTGTGTCATTTCTGCCATAAAGTTAAGCAGTCCACAGAGACAGCTTTTAACTGAGTCTTCTCAGAATAAATTGTTTGTTGCCATGTACTCTCTCTGGCCTCTTGTTATTCTCCTCCTGACATTCATGGTTTACTGGTTGGTTTTAATCACGGTAAAATGAAACCCTGCTGAAAGCATAGAGGTGAACATGGAACTGCTAGGCTCTGAAGTGCTCAGTCCTGCCTGACATAATTTTATTTGCCTAAAAGTTTTCTGCTGTAATATCTCCCTCAATAAGTTCACTTCCAATAGCATAGAAGCATTTCCCCTGAATCTCAGAAACTAGCAAAATTAAAGACAGATTGCAACAGAAATAAAATCATTTCAGTCACTCATGGGTGCTGCCACTATCGTTTTTCATTAAAAAAAATATGTTTGACCAAAATGTAATATGACAATAAAAAAAAAAAATCTACATTGACCAAGCAAAACAGCTACTAATTAGCTCTGTTCCAAATTTAAAGAAATAGCTCCTGGAAACAGGAACTTGAAGGAGATCTTGATTTTCTTTTCTGCTGTCTCTCAAAATCATTTAAAAAATGAGTGAATTACCGATGCCAAAGCCAGACAACAGATAAAAAGCATTCAATCACATCTATATCTTAAAGCCAATTTCATAGCTTTTTGCTGCCCAGCCAGTGATTGCTTAATGTCTCATGAGAGCCCCAGAAGAGGAAGTACGTGCCACTTGCAACCAGGTAAACCTACATTTTGTGCTCAGATACCAGAGAGCTGCAAACTTCCTGGTCTGATTGTATGTTCCTGGAAGCATACTCTTATATAAAATTTAAACATTTCAAATGTTAACCTTTTAAACATCTACATATGTGATACGGCACACACTTTCCATTCATTACTTTAAGGACTCTGCATGCGCACGCTATGTGGATAAAACTAGGCAAAAGAAAGGGTTAAGCAAGTAACATATGCCCCTATTCTGCCTCCCCCTCCCAAATAGTTAAAACATTCTGTTTTACAGAATTCCATTGAGAAATCCACACCAAATTTGCTAGTTAGATCTTGCTAAAGAGCAGACTGGAAGTTGTGTTTACTCTTCTTTACTCAACAAGTCCATGCCCTTAATACCTCTAAGTACACAACAGTCTGTAACCTCCAGGGACTTGAGTTCACCTAGCCTGCCCCCCACCCCAAGCCACCAAACATTCTGGGGCAAAATCCTCTTAGATCTTTACCACATATTTTTTCCCCCTTCTTGAGCAGAACATCACAGTCTATACCTCAATGACTCACTGTCTATCCTCAAAGCTGGAGTCATTCCCTTCATACACTTTGATAGATAGATCTGCATTGCAAAGTGCAATGTAACATAAAGGTGTCCAAGTGGGCTTTAAGTGAGCAAATAAAGTGAGAAAAGGAAATAAAGTGAGAAAAACAAAATAGTTCAGGACACTGAAATATCTGTGCTGAACTTTTGATTTCATTACTTACTATATAACCTAAGGCATGATTCTGTCCCTTGATTTTTCTTCTGTAAGACCTGAGTAGTAACCACAGTCACTAACAACAAGAAAGTAACTCAAAAATGATGCCTTTGAAGTTTTGCGCAAAATCTCAAGTGCAGCACTGAGGAAGAGAGGCAATGTCCGTTTTAAAATCACTGGTTAATTTAGATCTAGCCCAACACGTTATTTTCTAAATGTGTGAAATATTATTTTCTGACTTAAGATCTTGAATTCCAGACGCCAGCCCAGGTGAGCTTTTAGGAGTGAGTTATAAACACATGAAAACAGAGTTTATAATGAAAATGCTGACAGACTCTCAGCTACAGCTACCCTAGTGGGAACCACTGTAATAAAATGAATGCAATCACTCACCTTGTTTTACCAGATTTTATAGCTGTAGAGAAAATTAGGAAACTTAGCATCTTGCTCTCCACTAAATTGCTTTTTCTTCCTTAGACTTTTTCATGTGCCCTTTGTGATACTACTTGTAAACATCCTCATTTTTGTCTGTGTACTAAAACACATGCATTTAGCAGCTTAAATTGAGATTCTTGACTCTACAGTGTTTAACTTTCTATCTGGCCACTTTATTCTGAATCTTATTCAAATTAAAGCACAGCTATTATGCAAGGCACAAAAGTTCAATTTGAGTAAAATCTGGGCAGGATTTTCTTTTTTGCATGAAAACAACAGCATAATAAATGCTAATCATAATAATCCTTTCGAAGTGAAAGCTTTTCAAGAGTATTTTTGCATTTACGAATATAAAACATGTTTCCAATTTACATTCTAAAGCTTTTCATAGAATCTGAGATTAGAGATGGAAGAGACCTATATGTCATCCCTTCAATCCCCTGTCAGTGCTGGATTGTATCATCTACTAGTAAATACGGAATAAGAAGGTTTGAGAATTATACATTTCAGCTTGTAAACCCGTAATCATCCTGCATCAATCAGGGAATGCGGAGAAATGTGGAAACCTACATTTCTGTACTGCTGTGTCAATCAAGTCCCAAATGAGTGTATATATCAACTGTTTCTCTTGGTCAAATAGAGGCACCAACTAGGGTTGAGAAATTTGACCCCTTTTAATTAAATTGCTTGGATGACGTGTTTTATGGAACTTGAAGGTTGTCCCAGCTAATTTAAATCTCTCCCCTGTTAGTGACACTGTAGCATCACAATTGACCTCTCTCTCATTTGCCCAACAGAGGCCACCAAGGACAAATGAGAGGGTTGTAAACAGCTTCTCTCATCTTATTAAACATCACTTCAGAAACCTGTATAGATTTCAAGTAAGCAAGGTCAGGAAACCATTAGAAAGGTTAAACTGGAAACAAGAGAGCATGCAAGGTGGTCACAAGATTGTTCCAAGTCAGAAAACAAAATTAACATGAGGAAATACCTGACAGTGACTATATCTTCATTACCTTTGTTAGGGACAAAAGTAAAAATCAAGAAATCACAGAAGACGTAATAAAAAAAATAAAAGATGCAAAGTACCAGCTACCTAGAAAGCCTTGACACTTTTGAATTATCCGCCATCTCCACCCAGTCATGGTTGTTCAGTGTTTCACTTTCCATGAACAACTGCTGCTGTTTTACCAGTACGGATGTTAGCATAAAGCAAAGAAATCACACAGAGACACACTTTGAAGTCTGCTGCATTTGTATTTATCCTGAAATGCACTGAAGACTCAGCCAAAACCAAGATCAGAAGTATACCACAGGTGAAATAGCACTTAGATATCTAAAGAATACGCTTACTCAGAACTTGGTCAGCTAAACTAGACTGAAAGCGAGCAAAAAACCCTTCACAGGACCCACTTATGCAAATTAAGCAGAATAGATGTCTGAGTTGTCACTAGAAAATGTACTTTAGTACTCAAAATGATACTGCTGAGTATATCCCAAAGCTCTTCTGCTCTGGCTAACCCAGCTCTCTGAACACTTAAGAGTTTATGCTCCTTGAGATGCCCAAAATTCACAAAACCACCGAGTTTTCCAGGCACGCAAACAAACATTTGAGAGACTCTAACATGCTCAACAGTCACTTTCAATAAAAGCACTTAAAAATGGTTTCAATCCTCAGCTCTTGCAAAAAAAAAGCATTTTTGGCTGGGCTGTGTTGCAGCTTCACACGAAGGGGAACAGAAATATTGTTCCGGAGAATGGGTGCAATGGGTTCCTACGCATCTATCAAAATGGATCTGAAACTCTAATCTGTCATTTCATTAGCAAGAATTTCAACAAAATAGACATCGCTACCTGTTGTTATCGCATCATCAGAGGAAGAATGATTGTTCCATCTATGCCCAAGTGTCTGCTATTTTAAGTACAGAGGGTAGTTTCCCTAGTTTCTAGTAAAGGAAAAAGATGAGACTACAGACACGTTCCTCCTCAGCAGATGTTGGCATTCAGCACACCAGCTCCTACAAATCTCACTCTTTGGCATTTAATTCTCCCTATCCACTATAAATGATACTTCAGATCCAATTGATCATTGTA